AGATTTTTGTTTCTATTGGATTATGAGGATCCATCCATGTCCATTGCTAGATAATGGCGTGGGAGCGTCATTTGGCGCATCACAGCAATATCGACATCTAAACGCGAATTATGTTGTTTTTATTCCTTTTGTGTCTTTATGGTTTTCTAAATATTCTTAAAGGGCAACGAATTTTGCTCATCAATGTCGTATCCCGATTCGATTCATCTAAATTCGATAGCAGAACTGTGTTTTGCGAAGTTAATTTAGCCAGTCAGTCAAAATGTCGACAGGCGGCCTCTTCTGGTTGGCGCTGGTCTTTTGGAACTACTACGGTAGAGCCGAGCTCCTGATGGAGTCGCATCCTCTGATTGGCGAATTTCTTGTCGAGCCACAGCTTCAAGGCATCCTCGATGCCACTCCGACGCCAATGAATGGTAATAATTTTCGACACCCTTATCTTTTAAATTTCACCAGGAACCATCGCCAATTTCACATACAACATGTGCAAAACCAAGTTCGTCGACGTCAATTCAGAATTGTTGACACATAAGGGGCAAAGCGTTATCTACAATCTAGTGCAACAGGGATGTAATACGTGAGTTTTAATTCTCCAGCTATATCCAAATTTGTAGTTCACTCACCTCTGTCTTCTTCCCATCAGTCGGCTACGGATGTTATGGGGTCGCCGCCACGCTGGACGGGAAACCGCTTACTTTGCCAAATAAGTTAGTTAGTTAGGCGGGTTCATAAGCTCAAGAATTGTGATAATATTGTAAAAATTAACACTTTGCAGCGCGACAACTCAAACAGCATACACAATCGCCCCTGGAGCGCTTCGTATCGAAGTCCAAGCGACTGGGCGCATCGACGACTGTCTGACCTACCATCAACTGTTCGCGAATGCTGATGGTGAGCATACCTTCACTATTTAATTAATGGATAGATACAACACCCAAGTAACCGAAAATTTCAGAAGCTAAAAACTACCGTGTCCTGTCCGCAGAGTCGACTGGGTATTACGGCGAACGGTCAAAGTTCCAGTTCAGGAAGGGCTCGCAGGGGAAATATATTGTCCATCAGGTGAAATTTCATATATTGCAATGTAATTGTTTTATAAAATAGCCCTCCTTGGTTCGACAGGCCGCAATGGGACTAGGTCTGACCGGGGCATGTTCGATGAATATTTGGAAGGGACTCGTTCAGACGGATGCCAATCATTTCTATGGGTGTGTTTTGTTCGAATTTACGGTCTTACATACACGGATACGTTTTTCGTGAAAATCTAGTTTCCAGTCCGGATCTAGCATATCTGATGCAGAATGCATTTTGCACTAATTTCCGAATTGCTTGGAAATTCTGCAAGGCGAAGAATGCAAATCCGTTATGAGGCTTTTGGCACAACAGGCAACAAACCCTCGAGATTGGGTCATTTTCAGGCCTTTCCACGCCTCAAAACTTCATATTTTTTTTAGTTCTGGTCCTAGCGCTGTTTGTAAAATGAGATTCGAAATCAGCGTAAAATTCTGCTCAAGCTAGCTTTGGTCCGGGGGAAAACTCGATTGCCACTGAAAACTGCTCCTTGTCAGTTAATCACTAGTTATTTTTGATCTAAAACTATTAATGAAAATGTTTCCAGAGGACAGGGCAAGATCGGAGACCGAAAATTCCAACGCAATCTACTACCCGACGAGATCTATGCCAGCTTCATCACCTTGGAGGTGTCGAGCGCAGACGATTGCACTCTAACCGTATTCCCGTCAGTATCCAACGGTACTACTCATTGACCTCCGGCTTCTACCTTTGCATTGACAGGCTGCAATCCTCAACTTACCGAGGGCTGCGAATCCGGAATCCTGGACATCCCCCAATATTGTGACAGTAGCAGCAGCGAGCACCAGATGTGGTTTTATGTTAATAACGTAAGGAATTAAGTTTATGAATTAGAAGCTTTATATCTATTATATGTTCAGACCTGCTTGGAGTTGGGCGGCGGGAATTCCGGGGGTTTCGTATTGGAAATGATGAATCCGGTACCGGCTGGGATGGACGTTCGGGTGTTGTACAAAAATCAGACGATGTGAGTACGGTAAAAAAACGGGTTGAGGCGCAGGCGAAAAACTTAGGCTTAAGCTTAGGCTGAGGCTTGGGCTGAACCTTGGGCGTCGGCTTAGGCTTAGGCTTCGGCTGTTCAGGCGTCGGCTTAGGCATGAGCTAGGCCTAGGCTCATGCTCAAGCCCAGGCCTGAGTGCCTAGGCAGCTCCGACCTCGCGGCCATTTGGTTTTTTAGTTGATCATAGTCTCTTTAGCCTGCTGAACGATGCGAAGAACTACTCACTGAACACCGGAATGGATTATCTCATCGTAAACTATGCTTGGAATTGCACCGCCACAGCGTCACCAGATGGGTGTGCTCACGACTTCTTCCTCAGGCAAGAACTGTCTTTGTAGCTATTCCCATATCCAGATATTCCCTCGGCGAGGACGATTTTTGGGTGAAAAAATCAGCTGCAGGTAAGTGCATCGTTTTCAATCTTAAATACTTGAATGTTTTTGCAGGCCTTGGGTCCGCCTTTTTTGCTGTGCTGATCACAATTGCTGCCGCCATCTATCACTGATTCAATTCTGAATAAATTGATAATGTTGCATTGATGGGTTTATTTCCCCAGAAACGTTTTTTCCGAAAATTTTTGAAACTGCCGCCTTGAACCGCGATATAAGGAAGCGCCTTGTCAATGGCACGGGGTGGGGCTGGCCATTTTTTGGGGTGACCGCGACTACTGCACAAATATAGATTATCAAATAATACAATTTTCGACATTCGGCATTTGAAAAGTTGCGGCCCTTTTGTAATTACTGTTCTGTTCTCTGTTCTGAGTGAAGCCGAAAAATTTATTGTTTCCGGGCTGTAACAAAGAAATCCTTGGGTGGATTCAGGAAATCGTGGAAATATTCTCTTCCAAGTTCCTTTAGACCTTCTTCTGCGATTGATGCAGGGTTGAACTTGATCTGAAATTGACTGAATTTGTGCTCCGTTTTTAGATACTTACATCAATGAATCCGGCTTCTTCAAAAAAGTTGCTGATACGTTGATTTTAGCCAAAGAGCACACGTCGCGGTTCCGATATGTTCTGAAAATCATCAAAATTTTGAAAACTTTTGAAAAACCGTTGCCTTTGTCATAGAATTTGATCGTGGCTTTGATGCCGTCTTGCCAAGCTTGGGTTTGGTCGTAGAAGTTGGCAGCGCCTGAAAACTTGAATTTGGGTTTATTTAGATGTTTTTATCGTAATCGAGAATTGAGTTTACTTGCTGCATAAAATTTGCTTTCGAAATCTAAACCCACCAAATTTTTTCGCTTCCTCCTCGGTCCAAACCACTGATTCGGGGCTGTAGTTCGGGATTGCGGCCAGGAAAAACCCGCCGGATTTCATGGAATTAGCAAGTCCAAAAATTGCCTATACTTGATGGTTCCAAAATATAAAGGTTTAACAAACCTTTCTGAGATCCCCTTTTGTCTTATTAAAATGCAACACAAAAATGGCAATCACCAAATCGTAATGATTCGCTTCTAATGTGAGGTTTTCCATCGATTGGCATTCAAATTTGACCTTTTCATTTCCTATAAAATAGACTTTGATTATGCAAAAAATTTTTTGATAATAAAAATACCTGAATAGTTAGCCCTCGCGATTTCCAGTAATTTTCCATTATTGTCAAACCCAAGAATCGAATCGGGGTGGTAATCGAGTAGAAAATTGAGATGAAAACCTTCATAAAAATTTACCATATATTTTCATTAATACCTTGGCCACACCCGGCGTCTAAAATCTTCTTTCCCTTGACTTCATCTCCGTAGTTGAGCAATTTTTCCATCGTTGGCCTCACCACATAGTCCGGGAAAAAATTTCGGTGCAGTTATTGACGGGTGTTTATGCAAATTTTGGGGCGAGCCTGCGGTTTTCACGCTCAACTACACGATGAGTCATTCCGTCGTATTTAGGCAATTCCGGCATTTTTCAGGCCACTTACATGGTAGATGCTCTTATTTTGACATTTGGAGTAGGCGGTGGCTGGGAAATCGGAGGTCATCATCGATCAGCTGTATTTTTTTTGGCTTGCGAGGCTACAATTCATTTAAGAAATTTGTGTAATACATTTAAATCAAGGAATTTAAAAAACTATACAGACAAGAAAAAATTGAGCTGGTTTTATTTCATCCTTTATTTGGTTTTTAGTCAGATAACTTCAGTTATTCGAAAATGGATCCTTTGAATTTCTAGTCACACTTTTCTAATAATTATAAAATTCCCGGACTATCACCCAGCCACTAAACTTACCGAACCTTTCTTCCCCGTACACAAAAATATTCAAAAATGCCATCCGCCGCCCTTTTATCACCCCCAGCCATCCGGGGTGAATCAGCTTCTAGGGGTAGTGGGGGACGTCTCGTGGTTCTGGTATTTGTTTGAGGAAATTGTACAATTCGGCCTTATGTGGCCGCGGCGGTTATGATTCATTTTGGGATCCCAGATGAATGTGGCTGGGAAGATTTGGCTACAGCTTAATTTTGGTTATTTAGGCCTCTAGACTTAATGCCTATATTTCGAATATACGTGCCTCTTATCCAACTAACAACCAGGATACCTTGATGTTTTTCTGATCCACATTGTGGTCCCGATCTATCTTGGAGCCATCATTCCCTCGCTGTCTTCCCAAACCGGCTGCTACCCACCCTGTTGCGCTGCGTTAGCTTATTATCCGCCCAGCCTCTCCCCCTGCCAGCCGCGTTCGTGGTGTAATGGTCAGCATGGATGCCTTCCAAGCATTCGACGGGGGTTCGATTCCCCCCGAACGCAAATCTTTTTGCTTTTTGGGGAACAGCTTCAGTACACGATAGTTTAGCGATTATTGCTATCTTTTATTGGTTTTACCCCTTTATTTTTCCGATTTTGCAATTTCTATGAAACAATAAAGATTTAGCAATTGGATGGGAATACATTGCGGAAAACCCAAACTTCCGCATGAGCGAAAGATCAAGCATAGGAAGGCTCAAATAACAACTGGGCCGTATGAACAGGTACGGCCTGCTTCTATCCATTTTTATTCGTCAATTCAGAAAGTTATCATCAATGTTCTAGGGAATCGTTGTCGTCCATAATCAATCCCACAAAACAACCCTCGTCAGCGTGTCGGTGATAAAATTCGGGGCGCCAGTTGAGGAAATAAATTCAGGTTTGCATTAAAAATGAATTGAAACTGAAATTTTAATAAAATTGTTTACTTTTAGCGATCGCGGGAACCGGATTTACAAAAGATGATGAATATGAAATGTATCGGTATATTTCGACGCCAAATACTTTGGTGCACATTGAGCCCGGCGAGAAAAAGGTGCCTTATCAGGGAAGAAAGATACCTTACAATTTCAAAACTTAATAAGGTAAGCATTTTTAGGAGCTAAAGCCAGGACTCGATTCTGGCTACTTGACAATTTTCCAAAAACAGGAAAGAACACATCGATTGATAAGGGACGGGCAAGAAGAGGGTAGTTCGTCTATGGCTTTCAAAATCGAAGGTTTCAGATTTTATGATCTCAATCTGTGAAAATCACCCGATTCGGGCCGGGAGCAGTGTTACTTACACGACAGTTGGTTCGAGATATCCCCAGAGATTTGTAAGTTGAAAGAACCCACAACCAACGCCGTTTTTTAGACTTATGGGATCACAAAATGGGCCCAACGATCGAGGTGCAAAATACAGAAGGGCAAGCCGTACATATCAAAATTGATGTTGACGAGCCGAGTTCGGTGGAATTACCGATACGCGAAAGGCAAGGTAAGCAGCAAAAGGAAGCCGAAAAACCGGTGTAAAAAAGAAAATCATTAGTCCGCCGGTTATCTTATCAATTCCCCGGAAAAGGGAGGCGGCAAAAAATTAGGGTCAAAAGTTGATAAGAAAATCGTACCAATCCAAGAGTAACGTTAACAGTAAAATTTATAAAAAGAACCTTTTAAATTGAAATCTTTAGGCCCGTGGTTTTGCACGAATTGGTTCCACAAAATCTACTACCGAAAATTCGTCCCACCAGGCTACACGTTTTTGCACAAGCAAAACATGAGGTGGTATCTGCCGCATGCGAAGAAAAAGCGGAGAAGGCTCTTTGTGACCGTGATAAAAGCTGAGGATGGTTAGTATATTTAATTTTAGGTAAATTTAATCTTCCCTTTAGATGGTACATCTACCTCCAGAATCTCCCGTAAAGAACTTGTCTTGACAAATATGGATTTGTTGAAAAAGGGTGGTTTTGTGCTGACGATCGATAAGAAAGGGCGGATAATTCCAGAATCTGAAGGAATGTAAATGCTCACGGTTTTTTTTAATAAATTTGTACATAGTGAATGATTTATCGCAATCGCTTGAAAAAGTCTTCACAAAGCTTGCCAACCATCCCGGATTCGTTGAGAATAATCGATTTTTCAAACTGTGACATCGTTATATTGCAGATGTACTAAAAATGGTTGTTATAAATTTGAAAAAGCTGTTTTCCAACCTGCATATGGTTGATGATATTTGTGCATTCGTAGAAGACTTCAAGGGCTTTGCTCTCGGAGTGATACTTTTCTTTTAAATGCTAAAGAAAATCACGCATAAAAGTCACGAAAATAAAATGATACCTTTAACAACATGTAACAATATCGCTGGTATGCTTTTCGCTGGATTTCTACGGCTTTGTCGGAGAAGCCAATGGCTGAAAATTGTCATCTTTCATGATTTAATTTAAGCTATTCAGAGACTTTTTAATGATTAAAAACTCACAATTACAAAATGCTAGTATATTTTTCATTAACACAAACTCCTCGTCGGCTAGCGCCGCCCGTTTCATCGCCGGTAATATGTAGTCCCTACCATAGGAGATCAGAGACCCGAATCCTTTCTCCAGTCTAAAAATATTGTCATTTAATGCGTATCCTTAGCATCAATTAGCTATGTTTTGACGGCCCGCAAAATGACCAACAAGTTCGAGCGGTACATAATGTCGAATATCTGGATAAATATAAAACTTACTGCTGGAAAAGCCTGATATCATCATGGGTAACCCGTGTGCCGAGGCAGACTAGAAAACCGTCAAAGTTATATTTGTGAGTGTAGAAATAGTCGATGAACAACGCCGATTTGAAGTAGATATGGGGAATGAACGTCAACTGGAAACTCAGATTCACTGAGACTTTTATTAGACGGAAAAAGACGGTAGGAGGAATCATTACCTGATCGGCTTCTGGAAATGCTTGGAATTCTGGCATTATCCGGAACCAATCAATAATCATCACCAGCGACCGTGAAAATGTTCGGAAGCCCATCGTCATCATCAAATGCTCCGGAACTTGGTTGTTTGTGGAGAGGTGGAAGCCAACCTGAAAAAATTACGGGTATTCAAAAAAAAATGCTTGATTTCAGAACATGCGTATTTAGCGAAACAAAATTAAGGGCAATGCCAGGAGGAAAAATCATAAATCTAAATACAATTTATAGAACTTACCGGAACTCTGGGGCATAGCGCCAGCGGATTTTTGATTAGCTGGTCAATCGTCGTAGCCCCGTCTATTGGGAAATCAAAAATCACGGATACGGTGGGGTCGTCATTTGATAACAATCTGAGGAGAATTGGGTGAAAGGGGCATTGAAGTTACTTTTCCAGGTTGACCAGCTGTTTAATGCCACCAAAGCCGTCGGCAAAGACAGGTTTTGTGAAAAATTTCGCGGCCATCTGGAGCTCTTTCTAAATCGCCTGATGCGTGACATTTAAATAACTCGACAAAAAATAGTAGTTATCGATTTAATCTACCTTATCCGTCGTGGCAGACGCAGGAATTTGATATCGTTGCCCTACCAAAGCTCGTTTCTCTCTCAAATTGCATCCGGTGCGACGAGCGGTTACTAAAAAAATAATTGTTCCCTGTCATTGTTTGGTTTCGTCGGTAATCCTTGTTAATACTTACTTTCCGGTATCATCCCGACTTCCAAACATTTCTCATAGCGACATGGTATACATTTGGCTTTGCCTAGAAAACATAATATGATTAAGGACTCAAAAAGCTCACTTACCGAGCCCTCGAAAGTTTTTCGACGAGCATAGGCGATAATTTTTGCACTCTTTGATTGCGGCGCCGACCGTTGTGACCCGTAGAAAGAAGATTTTGCAGCTTCTGAAAGAACAAACGCATTAGTGGTCCCATCTGAGTGATCCAAAAATGTCTGAAACTTACGGGCAAACCACAGCTCCATAGTACAACCCTGCCGGACTGGCGCCGCACACGCGGCACTTCCGGTCCTCCGATTGTTCATAGTTGTTGTTGCGGTACTTGAGTATTGTAAAATCGATGACTTCTTCATATTTCATCTCGACCTCGGGCATTTTTGCGCTTCATAGTAGCATCGGCTAGAGGGCCGGTGCTTTCACTAAAGGATACAGAACTGGTAAGGTGAAATCGAATATTCTTAGTTTATAGATAAAAAGTAAAGACGCATAAAACGTAAATTGCACAGGCACATGCGCTGGTCAATATGAAACATCTCTAGATTTTTAGACAAACAGCTTAAAAGCTGTGTCTGAATCCGGTAAATGAAAAGTGGCAGGTGCGAGCCAGCGAGGAGGAAAGAAATAGAGGGAGAAAGAGGGAAAGGGACAAGGAGAGAGAGCAAGATATCGAGAGAAGGTGAGAGATAGGGCGAGAAATACAGCGCAAAATCGGGTTCACATGGAGCGATTTTCGCCGTCTTGATGCTAATTGGCCGTCCCGGGAAAGGTGGGGGTACAAGCCGTGGGAGGCAGCAAAGACTAGAAAATTATGACGTTTTCTACCTCAACAAAAGCCTATTTGTGCTTAATGAAGCATTCAGCCCCGGAAATGCGAGAAGCCGGAAGCCGAAAAAATTGAATACAAAAAATTACATGAGAAATCGGTCATAGGCCAAAAAAAATTGCCATCCACCAGACGAAAATAATCCAAATCAGAAAAGCGGCCTGGCAGAAATCTCACGCTTTTCCGAGGGAATGTTCCAAGTTTTGTCGAAGCCCCGCAGAAAGTTCAGACATCCCTCTTGGTACATCGCAACCAGGTGAACCGCGCAAAAATAACGAAATTATCGAGTATGTCGTTTTGGAATCTTTAGAGTGGTTGTACGGTATCGGGATCAAAATTTCGCTAGAGCGTTTTTTCATCATAATTATGGTTGGGTTTTGTTAGAACGCAATTATTTGGAAAAGCCTAATGTTATTAAGCGAAATATTGTTTGCAAACACAATTCTTTAAGATTATGCAATACATAATTAAATGATTCAAACAATACCTTAACCGCGAATTTCTGCAGGATTATGCACCGCGTGGGCCGATAGACCGATAGACAAAATTGTGGCCGGATGAACCTTTTCCCACGGGGCGATAATTCCCCCCGATTCCCGGGATTCCATGTTTTCGGCCCTATGACAGACTATAATTCGGCAACTAATTGACGGATGTGCTGGCGGTGGAAAATAGCAAACGACGCCGAGATCAGGCAACATTTTAGAAGAGATGAGAAGTAAGATTCAAGAAATTTTTGGCCGATTTAAGCATAAATGTATCTATTGGAGGGTAACGCCGCGAAAACACGTAACCGCGTTAAAATATTATATTTTGGAACGTTTATAGCAACCGTTGAAAAACGCGCGCGGTTTTCCACTTTTTAGGCGGTGGCGCTTACACGACTGTTTGCCGCGAGTCCGGCTGGACCAACAAAAAAAGACTGGTAGACCGGGTCGATTTAGCTGTTCTCGGAGCTTTCATCTCTCAGATGCACTATTGAAATGTGCCTTGATCATTAATGTTAGATTATAGGCTTGTGGCGACTATCTCAGAAAAATAGAATCATCAGATATCCGTGGATGAGGCCTTAAAAAACGAAAAGGATTCGTAATTTTTGCCAAAAAAACCGCTTAAATCAATGACTAGCCCAGATAAAATCATAACCCCAGAAAACCATCAAATACCCAACTACGATGCCTAAAAAGTGAAGAAACCACGGAGTCATTTGAGGGATTTGAAGCAATTGTCAAGCCAAGCTTTGAGAAATCGTTGCAAACTACCCCTTCAAATTAACAACTAGCCGACAAACTAATGACCCCCGGCAAAACAGCTCTCACAGCCCCGTTCATCACCAAAAACGCTCAATTTCAAAATTGCCAGCCTGTCCCGTTCAATATTTGCGACCCCGAAAAGCGCCCCGCGTGCTGCCGCGTCATCATATTGTGAAGAGGCGCCGGAATGGAGGCGCACACGCACAAAATCCAGGATTAGTTCTTGGAATACCCTAATCGGCACCCACTGCAAAAATCGTATATTCGCCAGGTGGTGGTGGCTGTTGAAAAAGTGGTGGTTGATCTTTCAAAGATGGGGGCTGGGGGATAACGGGTAAACAGGAAGTCAATCTGGGATTTGATTTTTGTGTTTTGGGAAGCTGAGGATTTACTAGAAGGTGCTACGCGATGTGCGAGGGGTAGGAACGTAATGGAAAAATCTATTGAGTCTAACCTTTGTGGAGGTCTAACATTGCATAAATAATTTTAGAACAATGTAAAAATTTGTATTTAGCTTTCTTTGTTTCCCTGTTTCAATCCTGGCTCCTTTTTTTGGCTTTTACTCTCTCTCTCTCTCCAGCTTCGGTTTGTGTTCACGCTCTCACTCTCGCCATCTCAGGCTCTTATTTCGGTTACGCTCTGATTAATGGTTTTCTCATTTTTTTATATCTCTCTCAACCTGTCGCTTCTTGACAACCTAAGACAACGAAAAGAAGACAAAAAAAGACGGCAGGAAACCCCACAAGAAGCCTCAATGTCAACGCCCAGTAATTGGTAGCTCAAAATAAACGGGATTACTGGAATTTCATGGAAAATCATTGATACAGAAGTTCCCAGGTATCCGCCTCAAAGGTCAAAGATCGTGGGTCCAAAAGAGCACGGAGTCGGTATAGTTTTGACACAGAAGAGTGCATGGACCCCCGGCTGGGAGGCAAGGGAGAGTGTGCGTGTGTCTGCTCGAAAAGTCGATACCCGGCACAAATGGGGGGTGGACAGTGGAGGTATGGAGGGGGGGAAATGAGGTGTGGTCAGGTGAAGACAGGAGAAGGGGTAACCGGAACGAATAGTGTGAGTGGAAGAAGAAGAAGAAGAAGAAGAAGAATGGGGAAGGTCGGGAGCAAATATGGGCTGCAAGACAGCGATCAGATTCGGCGCCGACTGACCCGGGCTGAGATCGGGGGCGCGTGATAATTGTTTCGGTGATCGGTGTGCTTTGACCGGACAGGTGGCTAAAGGGACTGGGAAGTCTTTATTTTTCGAGGACGAGAAGAAAAGGATAGGACGAGTGAATTGGTATCATAATGTCGAAATTCATAATGTCGAAACTCATAATGTCGAAATTTCATAATGTCGAAATTTACATAAACTAATATTACCGGTGAAACCGTCAAATCCTAGCCAAAAATTTTTTCCAAATTCGATTTTTTTATCTTATTTCACGGCAACATTTTTTGTCTAGGATTCGGGGACTTTACCAGGAATTTTAGCTTATGTAAATTTCGACATTCTGACATTTCGACATTATGAAATTTCGACATTATGGAATTTCGACATTATGGAATTTCGACATTATTAAATTTCGACATTATGAAATTTCGACATTATGAGTTTCGACATTATGAATTTCGACATTTTAAAAATAAGCCAGGACGAGTAGTTCTGGACGGAAAACCTGACGAGGTCCAGGTTTATGGTTCTTCATCAGTTATGTTATGCCGTTCTTCACGCTGATAACGATACACACATACAGGCACGTAGCGTATTTACATAGCAACATTCAGGACGCAGCAAATGAAGAAATTATCATCAAAATTAGAAAGGTCAATAATTGCGGCTGATTTTTCAAGTTTGTCGTGGTTTCCATCGAACTCATTACGATAGCGTCCGGGAAATATGCTCGCATAAAGTACCCATTTCTCTCGTACGTCAGGTTACCGACTCTTGCATAGGTAATCTAAAGCGTTTTCTAAAAACCGCGAAAAGCAGCTTCACCGTCAGGTTAGTGACCTGGGCGGCCGTGAGGTTGAATGAAGGGTGGGTGTCATTGAATTGACTGCAAAAAGATTGTACGTCAAATCGAAAGACCCACTGATGCTCTGGGGTCCCGTTAGCATGATCTAAAAATATATCCACTCGTACATTGAGCATATCCACCAATTTTAATTTGAGATCAACAGGCGAACCTAAGAATTTTGCATATTTCTTAATAGGAATTTCTTAATAACTTACATTCTTAGCTTATCCGGTTGGATGACTAACTTTCTTAACTTACACCAGGGTTGAAAAGCCGCTTCGCGACTTTTCAACCCTGGCCCCGTCTGATCCGATGATATTCTGCACTTTGCATATATTCCACGAATCACCCATGTCGAAAAATGAAAAACATCTCTTTCTGTCCCTTTATATAGACTTTCGTCACTTCCGGCGCATGCAAATTGTTTCCTAACAAAGAGGGAAACCCGGATTTTCATAAAAACTTAATTTTAATGTCGAAAATAGCACTTTTTGTAAAATCTGATATGTGTGCAGTTGTGCCATGACCATTACGCACCTTTTGGCGTGGCAAACATACCCTTAACTTCCTCCCTTATCGAGATACGACTGGAACATAATGACGGAAGTTGCATGCAAAGTGGCACACACACACACACACACAAACACTATTTTTTTATATGACTAACTTTTTTAACTTACATATATAAGTGATGCTCATTGCCGCCAAGCGCATCGTCAAATACTGTAATGGTATCATTCGGTATTCCGGCGAAATCAGTAAACGCATTCCCGTACAATCCGACGATATCAGCCTATAGTCAGCGGCTGCATCTGCAAATTCAGGGAGCGTCATCCCCACAACATCAAGTCGTAATTGCTACTAGGAAATCCTCAAATTAAATCTAGCCAAAATCTCGGCAATGAAAGTAGAAATTCACCTGGCGGCCTTTTGGTCTCAGACGGCAGTCTTCCTTTATGGTGTTGTTAGTTTCAAAATGACATACGAGTATCCGACAATTTTTGCATATTATTCCACCGCCATGTTTGTTCTTGGGCTTCTAGTCAATCTTTTCACCCTCTGGGTTATCATAAAAAATCCGTCGGACCGGGTATCCAATTATCGATGGCATTTGGCTTAGTATCAGGTAAATTTCATCGGAAAAATATCTTTCAAGGTTTGATACGGTTTTCAGTTCTGGGCCATCCTCCAAGAATTCATATTCCACGGTGTTACGCCAGAATTTTATTTCCCTACCCTAGTCGGCCGGGCGCTTAGTTTTCTTGGATTTCTTGGGCGATTTGCGCTGCTGGTTAGCAATTTCGTGAGAAATCCCAATTTTGTGTGGTCGTTTGGCGCGATATTCGTAATGTCGATGCTTTGTGCGACGCTGCAATGTATGGCCTATCGACATCACGTTTTGCTGAGCATCACCAGTCGACTAAGGTATTGTTGGGAAACTTGAAAATCAAGAATTCTTTGCAAGGCTTCACTGCGGGGCGCTATTTTGATAGCATTACCCAATTACTTGATCCCTTCTCTAGCGTGGATAATTGGTGCAGCGCTGCTTCGGATGGATGAGGTTGCAGAGAGTTCTGAGATGGAGATGCAAATTCGGGTATTACTTTCAAATGGAATCGAGCATGGGCTACACTTTACTTCCCCCATCCCAGCCGGAAGTTTTTGGCATAACTTTTTATTTTACATCATTGTGGGCTCAAATTAAAAATCTTAGTATATTTTTGACGCTTTTTCGAATGGCGTTGCAAAAATCCCGACAAAATCCGCGAAAATACCGAAAACTTTGAGACCCTTCGGCTGCGGGGGGGGGTAAAGTAAAGTCTTACCCGAGCCTGGTTATATCGATATTGGCAACTTGCAGGATCAATATAGTTTTGTAACTTTAGACAAAGCCGCAGCTCGCCTTCATGCGAGCACTGCCCGGATGCTATATAATGAATGCGCCGCCCATCTTCCCTCCATATATCATGTTTTCCGGGTTGACGCCAGTGATCTGCGGGGTCATAACAGCAATGTGTGCTTGGATACCAATGGTGACGTTGTTTTTGACTGCCTGGCCCTTCGCGGCAAATTACCAGAAGCTGAATCAAGCAGCTAATGCAGTTTTCAGTTTCCGCTGTTGGCATGGCATTCCTTTTACATCCTCAGCGATCAGCACACACTGATGAGCGCGAAAACCCGGGCAATGCACCGAAAAAGTCTGCAGGTTTTGATAATTGGGGTGAGCTTTCGTGAAGATGTTACTGTTTCATTTTGCGAGTGCTAATGTCAAAGGGGAGGAAGCTTTAGGTGGCAATTCCATTGCTTTCGGTTGTCGGTCCCTACCTCGCCGTGGTGGTGATCGTGCTCGGGGATTTCACCGTTTCTCAAAGTTAGTTTTGCGATTATGTGATGACTGTTTCTAGCGCTAATCAATCTGATTGTCGGGCTACAATCCACCCACACCACGATATCGTCAGCATTTATCCTCACCTTCACCACGCCGTATCGAAAATATGTGCACCGCCTTATCACCCATGTTCTCTTACGGTAAGCCAAATGTCTCCTTTGAATCCTAATATAAATAAAAAAATAGTGTCTATGTGTGTGTGTGCATTTGCATGCAACTTCCCTCCGTATGTTCCAGTCGTATCTCAATAAAGGAAGAAGTTAAGGGCACGTATGATATGTCACTAGGTGCGTAATGGTCATGACACGACATATGAGATTTTCCAGAATCAGATGTTTTCGGCATTAAAAATAAGTTTTTGTGAAAATATCGCTCGGCCCCTTTGTTAGGAATCAATTTGCATGCACCGGAAGGGGGAGAGGGCATGAGCACGGGCTTTTCATTTTTTTGCACAGGAATTCAGGAGTTTATGCAAAGTGATGAAGCAAGGGGGTAAGTCGGGGCCAGGGTTGAGAAATTGCGAAACGGCTTTTCAACCCTGGTTCTCTGTTAAACCTCTTATTTTTTTTTTCAGTCAACGCCAAATGCCTGCGGCCCGGAATCAACCCGTGAGCTTTGAGCAAAATTCGGTAAGACTTGCGATCGTTATTTCATAAATACTATATCAAGTATAAACATCATTTACGACGTGTTCAACCAATCTTTAGATCTCCCGAACTCCTATCTATCTTTCTGTCGCAGGTTTTAGTTTTGATATTTTGTGGCCCTAAAGAGGGCCGTTGGGTTGGTTGGGTTTAGGGAAGAAGCTCGACATGGAGAGACAATTCTTTTGTTGCAAAAGAAAATATCTATTCCTTGTCTCCGGCGGTCTTCTTGGGGAGCAGGACAGCCTGGATGTTGGGCAGAACACCTCCCTGGGCGATGGTGACACCCGACAGCAGCTTGTTCAGCTCTTCGTCGTTGCGGACGGCGAGTTGAAGATGGCGGGGGTTGATGCGGGTCTTCTTGTTGTCACGGGCAGCATTGCCAGCCAACTCGAGAACCTCAGCAGCGAGGTACTCAAGAACGGCGGCCAAGTAGACCGGGGCTCCAGCTCCGACACGTTGGGCATAGTTACCCTTGCGGAGAAGACGATGCAGACGTCCAACGGGGAATTGGAGTCCGGCTCGCACAGAGCGAGACTTTTGCTTGCCACCAGTCTTGGCCTTGCCTCCCTTGCCACGTCCAGACATGTTGTCGAGTTGAGTTGAGTTCTTCGGTGAAGATGGTTTTTGGGTGGGGAAGGGGGTCTTTTATAGGTTACGAGGGGTAGGGGAGGGCGGGGCCTCGGGTGCTGTCTCCGCCCTACCCGTAGTGTCTCGTCGCGCGTATCAGTGCGTAGTCCTAGCCACGCCCCTTCCCTACTACCCTATATAAGAACTGCCCTAGATAGAATCCCCATCCAACTCTCACAAGAAGGAAATGGCCCGCACCAAGCAAACCGCCCGCAAGTCGACTGGAGGAAAGGCTCCCCGTAAGCAGCTAGCCACGAAGGCTGCTCGCAAATCGGCCCCGGCCACCGGAGGAGTCAAGAAGCCCCACCGTTACCGCCCTGGAACCGTTGCTCTCCGTGAGATCCGTCGTTACCAAAAATCGACGGAGCTTCTCATCCGCAAGCTCCCCTTCCAGCGTCTCGTCCGCGAGATTGCCCAGGACTTCAAGACTGATCTCCGCTTCCAGTCATCGGCTGTTATGGCCCTTCAGGAGGCTTCGGAGGCTTACCTTGTTGGTCTCTTCGAAGATACCAACCTGTGCGCCATCCATGCCAAGCGTGTCACCATCATGCCAAAGGACATCCAGCTGGCTCGCCGCATCCGTGGAGAGCGTGCTTAAGTCTGATGAAGCCACGACTTCTCGGATTGCTTGACGCCTTCTAAAACCCAACCCAACCCAACGGCCCTCTTTAGGGCCACAAATAACTAAAAGGATCTGAAAAAAAAATTCGGAGTAGAGAGACTAAGTACTCTTGAATTACTATCGCAGGCGAAGCCACCGGCCCTGGTTAAGGCCCCAAATAACTAAACAAAAATATAATGGTAACCGGGAAGTAACAAGAGTAGGCGAGCACTTCGACTACGCCAGATACGAATGCCATATTCTGTCAACGCCCGATTTAAGGATCACAGATCAATTAAGATTATTTAATTTATGCAAAATTCGTTGGTTCCCATCACAAATGCTTGGGTAGTTCGTTATCAGTCGTAGAATTATGCCAAAACAGGGTTCTAAGTTCTCAAAAATAAAGGCAAGCATCCTATCACTGAGATTTCTATCGCGATGTTGATAATAAGTGTAGCTCCTCATCCGTAACACGCGAGGACCCAGCCTGGAAAAAAATTTTTAGCCGGAAATCTCCTGAAATTCAAGACTGCCAGGAAAGGGTATGAGGGGCAAAGTGTGTTTTGTAATAATTGGTTTTATAAATTGTCCTTTTTGCAGGTTTGGCACTCTGTAGTTTAAAATTCCGCCATTCTAGCACCAAATCAACTGACTCTTTATGATTACAAATGTACCCATCACTTTCGGATTTGTATTAATATTGACCTGTCTATCCTGTGACCTCCAATGGCGGTTTTCGCGCCAGAATTGGGCCTTGGCTAGGTGCCAGGCGCGTCCTGCCCTGCCTTGACCTAGGACGGATGGCGGGAATGGTCTTATAGAGAGAATAGGAGCTGTAGCATTAATGAAACTGTCTTCAAATTTGAAAAAAGGAAATCAAAATCTTCGTGTTTCGGGTGAGCTAGACGTAGCAAAAATTCAGCAGATCTGCTACATCCACGCCGGTTAGGCTCCGACTCAGACTGGGATAGGTGGCTTGCTACTTATTAGTTTGCCCACCCTGAAAACCTCATAAATATTTTGCTCACAACCTTATCTACACAACAATGTTACGCCAAGCTACATTCGGTTACACTACTCGGTCGCTGGACCCGGGAAGAGGCAGCTCCTCACTTACGAAACACCCAACAAATTTTTAAATATCCTTCTGAATATTCAGTGTCATATTCTTTTATCTAGCATCCTTCGAACTCGGTTAGTTCTATGGTATTAGGTATTTAGATTTGTGGCCCTAAAGAGGGCCGTTGGGTTGGGTGGGTGGTTGGTGTTGGCAATGCCAGCCAATTCGTCATTTCAGTAGCAGAACATCCAATATTTATTTGGACGAGGTGTACTTGGTGACGGCCTTGGTGCCCTCAGACACGGCGTGCTTGGCCAACTCTCCGGGGAGAATGAGGCGGACAGCCGTCTGGATTTCGCGAGACGAGATCGTCGACCGCTTGTTGTAGTGGGCCAGACGCGAGGCTTCCGAGGCGATACGCTCGAAGACGTCATTGACGAACGAGTTCATGATGGACATGGCCTTGGAGGAGACACCGGTGTCGGGGTGGACCTGCTTGAGGACACGGTAGATGTAGACGGAGTAGGATTCCTTGCGGGACTTCCTCCTCTTCTTATCTCGGTACGGGCGGCCTTTTGGGACTTTCCGGCCTTCTTGGCTCCCTTGGCAGACGGCTTGGGCGGCATTTTGGACGAGTTTCGAGCAGTTGATGCAAGATGGGGATGGCTGTTAGGTGGGAGGTATTTATGCAGTTCTAGAGGGGTCGAGTAGGCGGAGTCTGATACCCTGGGGCCACTAGGCGACGCTCCGCCCCTCGGGAATCGCGGCAGGACCTCCCCTCCCCCACCCTATATAAGCCCCTAAGCTGGGACTAGCGACCATCTTCATCGAAGAAACTCATCTTCAGAATGTCTGGACGCGGCAAGGGAGGCAAAGGACTCGGAAAGGGAGGTGCCAAGCGCCATCGCAAGGTTCTCCGTGACAACATCCAGGGAATCACCAAGCCGGCTATTCGCCGTCTTGCCCGTCGTGGTGGAGTCAAGCGTATCTCTGGACTGATCTATGAGGAGACCCGTGGTGTCCTCAAGGTTTTCCTTGAGAACGTCATCCGTGATGCTGTCACCTACTGTGAGCACGCCAAGAGGAAGACGGTCACCGCCATGGATGTCGTCTACGCCCTGAAACGCCAGGGACGCACCCTCTACGGATTCGGTGGATAAGTCTTCTCTTCAATGACGACGTCTGCTCGGATATTCCAACAAACCCAACCAACCCAACGGCCCTCTTTAGGGCCACAAACGAAAATAACCTAAAATATGTTTGCAATGGTAGTTATAAGAATAACCAGCCTAAGAAACTTAAGAAGGAACTTAGAACTTAGGCTTCAGTAGTGTATGTAAGTCTGCAAAGAAGGAGCGTGCCCTTGGCGCCAAGATTTTGCTTCAGAAGTTGCCCAACCGATTTTGTGCAGATTTGCACTGGTGTATACCTACCGTGCGGCTAAAATTGGTAACTGAATATACCTGGCTTTGTGTTTCGGGACAAAACTGGAATGTTTCTGAGCCAAACAGCTTCAGCGTGCACAAAAATGAAATTGGCCAAAGGATTATCCGCATCCTAAATAAACAATTGGTGGAATTTTGCATGTTCTTCCAATCAACGACGTCGTCTACAAAGCGAGGATATTCCACAAGCCCAAACAACGCAACGGCCCTCTTTAGGGCCATAAATTTAACAAAAAGGACACAGTTTACGAGGCGGGGCGGAATAGGGGATCTGTCAGATCACCTTCAAAGATATATTTCTTGAAATTCTGGCCTAATTTACTGAAAGTGGTTTACAACGCCTTACGGTTCTAGGGGATTGCTTTTATGAGGCATACGGTGCATGGATGGGTTGCAACGACAAGGTTTTGATGATACCACCCTTTTTTTCAAAGTTATGTATCTTTCCAAAGGCTTCCTGAAGCACCGATGGCCTTTCCACCCATTCCCACCCTTGCTTGCTTGACCCACATATCGTTGATGCCGCGTCCCCCACCTTGGCGCCAAAACCATCTGCTGGCTGGGTGCCAGCGGCGTCCCCGCCTAGCTTGGAGCGATCGACTGCCGAGAGGAACAAATATCAGGGTACTGAACGACTACAATGGAAAGTGAAAAAATAACGCTGAGTTTAAAGTCACACATTCCGGAAATACTAGCGTTACCTGTTGGCCTAACGAAGTTAAAACGAAAATTTGTAAAATCCCTTCTAATGGATTCTCTGATAGAAAAAAGGCATAGAATATATCAAACGATACAGTCGTAAACCATCAACCATAAAATCGAAAAACAAAAAATAGAAAAGCGATCCATCTTCAATAGAATGCGAAAACGTCAACAAATTTTTTCTACAATCGCGCGTGCAGATAAATGACAATCTGCTTGTCTCTTTAATATCGTTAAGGAATGATGCTACAACCAAAAAGTTATATTTTAAGTCGACGCTCGACCGATTTTTTCGAAGCCTTGTAACCTTGCACGCGCAGTAACTTTGAATCCAGGCTCCAGTTTCGACTCTTCTTTTTTTTCAAGAATTCTCAGTACTCTTTGCTTTGCAGAACATAAGCCCATACCTAGCTCCTTTGGCTAATACCACTCCGTCTCCTAGGTTCTTGGGTTTTTTTATTATTGGTTTGTGGCCCTAAAGAGGGCCGTTGGGTTGGGGTATGTTTTCAGAAGCTCGACGTAGG